AGATATTATAAAAAATTTAATAACTTATTTATATCATAACCGATACAGTTATATATAGTTACATCCAAAGCGCTAGTGGAACTTTATAACATTTCTATCATAACTAATAAAATTGTATCTATTTTAAATTTTATATGAATGTTATGATTCATTAACAAGTTTGTATCTTAATTAATATAATTTTAATTATACATTTTTATATCTGTTAAATAAAGAATTAATAGAATTTTACTTAAAACATAAGCAATATATCTTAATAGCGAATATTATGAAATTCAAATTTTATTCAATACGATATTTCTTGTTAAGTGCTTTCCAAATAAAGCCAGTGCTAAGCACATATTTTCTTGTAAGATGTACAGGATGCATCACCAAAATGCCCACAAATTTCAATTTAAATTTTCCGCTATATTATGCTTCCGCCAGAGGTTGTTGTTGACGTCCGAGAAAGCCTGATGCTTCGAGTAAACAGTCATATTCTCAAAATGACCGCGATGTTGAAACCAGTGCGGAGTATAATCGAACAGCCGCGATCATCGAAGGCCTTCGGGCTGGGCGCTCGGCAACGGAAATAATTTGGTTCTTTGGATATCCGAGATCAATCGTTTATGATGTTGTGGCAAAATATACGGTTTTAGAACAGTCTAACGAAGATTCCAATATGCCAGCGAGGAAGAGTCACACGAAAGAACGCACCGCGAGAACCAACGCAATCGTTGAAAGCGCTGATTTCAGATGACCCAGGGCAATCGTTGCAAAAATTAGCATCGATTGTTGAAACTGTGGCATCCAGAAGGCCATATGTTTTTCAGGACGGTGGACTGGCTCATACGAGTTATTTGATTCAAAATTGGCTCTCAGACAACGTTGATATGTTTTGGTCCAAGGAATTCTGACCTTCCAACAGCGCAGATTTAAATCCCTTGATTTTACTACTACATATAGAGCGTAGTTGAAAGGGTCACAAACAAGTCTCGGTATCCCAATGTGACGTAATTAAGGACCGCTATTGAGGTAGCATTCGTCGGCATAGACAGCGCTACATTACAGCGTGCGTGCGCTTCAGGCCGAGAATAGAAGTCGTCATTCAAGCTAATGGGAGATATATCGAATAATTGTGTTTTATAGGGATTCTCCAAGTGCTATGTAAAAGGATTTTATGTAATATTTAATTTTTCATTAAAAACATTTTGTTTAAAGAAATTGTTCAATTTGTCTGGATTTTGGTGACGCACTCTGTATATTTATTGCTTCTAGTGCACTGTATAAATTTTAAGATTCTCTCGCCATTCAACTTATTGCCTGTACATTGGCTGTAATCGAACTGAACAAAATGGAAGAAGTCCAAAACTACAATCGCGTCGCCGGCACGAATTACTAACGCCAAATCCAATTAGATTTATCCTATGCTGTTCGCGAAAGAGCGCATCTTTCTTAAAATACGAATAATAATATAATAAACTTAACAGACTGTGCCTCTTGGTAACCTTTGGTTATCAAGGAAAATATTAAAACATGAATTCGCAAATAACTAAAATAATCGAATGCATTTGTAACTTAAAACTACTAGAATAAATTTATAACTTTCAATTAGAACTAATTGAATACATTTATAGCTTAGAATCCTTTACGCATCATTACAATCTTTGTCCCTGATTAAATTGTCTTCGATGGGTAGGACACGCAATTTTGCAGTAGGACACTTGTATTCGCCAAAGAAAGTTCTAACAACTCTGACAATATTATTAGCTCTTGGCGTGACTTTCAGTACTCGTTCAAACTACCATTTTAACGACGGTAAATTGTCTTCTCGACAAAAAACTAGCTAGCCATCACGAATCTAAGGCCCGGAATGAACCATTTATTATTGTTGTAGAGTAACTAAGTACTCACAGAGGATCACCTCTTCCAGAACTGTTAGCGTATTCTTTCGATCAACTGCCATTTAGATAAGCGATTAACTTTCTCCATCAAATCTACCTCAGGATAGGAAGTTAGCGTAGTGACCTACAAGAAAGTGACCTGGAGATAAAAAGCTTAGATTGTTAGAATTGTCATAAATGGCTGTAAGAGGCTAAGAATTTAAGATGGCTTCAATTTGAACTACCAAAATAGATGCCTCCTCAAAAGTCATAAATGCTTTTGCGGCTTTATAGAAATGCGTTTTAAAGAATTTCACTGCGCTCTCCCACAATCCTCCTGAGGAGCTCGAGCAGGAATAAAGTGCCATCGAACTCTCTGCCATATCCTCATGCCACACAATCTTACATCTTTGTTGTTCCTGAAAAAATAATTTTACTGCTGAAGTTCCCTATTGGCACCGATAAAATTTGTGCCATTATCAGAATACACATGGCTGGTTTGTTATCCCAATAAAGCGCTTAAAGTTATTAAGAAATGCATCCGTCGTCAAATCTAAAACAATATCTAAATGTATAGCTTTAATTACCATACACACAAATACAACAATGTACACCTTAACTCGCTTTGCCTCTTTTGTCCTTCCTTCACGTATATAAATGGGCTCGCAAAAGTCAATTTCAGTGCTAGAAAAAGGATGACTCTGTCTATGGGTACATCTCCCATTATTTGTTCTGAACTACGCGATTTAAACCTGAAAATTTGATACATTTGTGAATCAATCTTTTCTAACAGTACCGCGCATCCTGAGCGGCCAGTATTGCTACTAACGTAGCATGTGCGCCAACATGACAATGACTGATATGTTTGTGAGTAATTATTAAAAATAACTAAATTTCAGAATAAAAATTAGGCTTTCGAAATTACCAAATAAATCTCAAACAAAAAACAGGCGATTGAGAGTAAACAATAAGACGCAAATATTCAGGCATTATACGTTAAACAATTTGTATTTAATAGTTCTTACAACTAAAATGATGAGATCGAATGTTTCGGCTCAGTTCGAGCAATCCTCAGCGATGTCAAAAAACATTACAAGTTATTAAAGAAAAGATCCAAGAATGCAGTTAAAGGAGCCTCTTCAATTTCAAACTTGAGAAGCCACATTGTCAAATTAGTTGACTAACTGAGCACTAAAGAAAAGTCAAAATTAATAATACAACAATACTAAAACAAGATAGAGAATGAGCCAAAAACTCATCCGCTGCATTCCATGATCACTATAACAAAGAGTTAAGAACCGCATGAATAGATATACATCGTTAAGAGAACCGAATAGAATGACAATCAATGTTCAAATGATAATAA